CAGGAATCTGCATCTTATTAGGAAATGTGAATTCCAAATATGGAAAGAATATCCAATATTTCCAATATGTTTGATGTACATAATTTGCAGAATCCATGCAATAAGCTCATAGTATACATGTATGCAGAGTTTGTGAATGAAATAGAAGAATGATTCTCATTGGCTATAAAACACTAACATCTAGACAATTAACCAATCATTTACTGAGTTACGGCAACAGTTTTAATCTGTTTTCTAGATTAAATCATAACTGCAGTACTTCAATTTTTGTACTAAACACTCACCTTTCCTAGTCCAGCTATCATTCCAGTATTTTCAGTTCTGCAGAGAAATGCAATATTTACTGTAAACATTTTACAAACAAGGAACTGTTTACATTCCTCCCACTTTTGAAAAATGATAAATGTTATCAATTTTCAGTGAATATTCTGATGAATTCACAAATTATATATTGTAATAAAAAAAATACACTTTTCCTACCCTGGTCTGAAATTTCTTTCCTGACCTCCACCAAACAGCATAGGATAAATTGGTGTTGTACATCCTGGCTCCTTCGCATACAATGCACCAATACGAGGACCATAAAACTATATATAATAAAAATTACAACATATAGTAAGTAGTAGTAGCATCTTTTGTTAATTATTTCTGATATTTTTAAGGTATATTTTATGCATTGGATATGCATGTATTAGTAACAAAGGTTTTAGTGGAGCCATGAATACAGAGCACACATCCCATCTCCCCCATTCTCTTTCCCAGAGTTTCTTGCAGTTAGAACACCAGTTAGGTATCTCTCTAGCCATTTTGTGGTGAAGCGTATTTTTGTTACTGATAAACAAGTTTTAAATGATAGCTGATAATGATCTCATTGTAAACGTAAAAAAAGGGGGAAATAATTTCATTGCGGAATAATGTGGTTACTAATTGGTGATTTTCCGTACAATTGCGAGATCTCGCGAGATGCATGAAAGAAGCGCGTCGAACATCTGCCGCAAAAATCGAACGATTTGATTTTGAACTAGAATTTCTTTATTTCGTAGCTTACATGTACATTGACCGGCCGATCTTCGACAGAGGAATATTGCTTCCGAATACCCTTACTTAATCGAAATTGCCTATCATCAAATGTGGACAGCACATTATTAAGCATGGAAATATCCCCGAAATACTTTCGCGTTTGTTGAATCCCACGCGATGTTTGACGCGACTACGACGCTATGACCTTTGTTTGTCCTGTTTTTACGTTCGATTTCACGCATAACGCGTGATTCTCGCAGTGAACGGAAAATGGTCTATTAAGATGTTACAAGCTGACAGTCCAGCTGATTGCTAGGCAAAGAAATATAAACAAACAAGTGTACTTTGTGGTATTTACAGCTAACTCATCCTAATGTCACCCAATTTGTGCTACAACTACTTTAGAACTTGCAACAAAAAAGTCAGGTAAAGTTTGTATATCCTCGGGGCGGAGCTACATCACAAGATGTTTCATGTAGCTAAGACGCGCACCACTGTACCATGCATTTCTATGGGCTCTGTGCACGCTGCTGTGAAACGCCGGTCGAGCCGGTGAAAATTCGAGAAAACAACACAAACTCAACTTTGAAGTAATCCTGAACAACCAAATTTATATATGTTACACACGTAGGGCTAATCTTGTTACACTGTTCAGGGCAGTCTCAACAACCATCCCAAAGTACCGTTTTCTGCGAGTTTTTGGCCTTTGCTTTCACCGCAAGGGTTGGCAGGCGGTGAAAATGCCCGGATGTCCGCTCCCGAGGATACCGATAATTGCTGTTTTTGCTAAACAATAGTTTTATATTTTTGATATTTTCCCCGAGTAATCAACCATCTGGCAGAAAACAGCCATACTCAGATAATGTCAATCCACTTTCAAGTTGATGTTTCTTCTCATTAACAAGAAAACTAAAACTAGTTACACCTTTGAATCCTAGTTTTCATATCTCATACTTTTTTAAAATTTCTCCCGGATTAAATTATCAGTTTTAAATTTATTTTACAGTCTTGCACTTTGCTTCTATCACTTCAACCACTTCTGATCAGTTGTTCATGGCACATAAAGGAATATTACTAAACAGGATTACATTTACCTTATGCCCAACAATGGTGAGATAGTCCACACCTAACTCTTCTACATCCACTGGAATCTTACCAATAGCCTGGGCAGCATCTGTATGTATCAGTATCCTAAACACTTCAGATCTAGGATTTCTCTTTATAGACTTGACAGCTTTTGAGATTTCAGCAATCGGCTGTATGAAAAATTAAAAACATTTATAAATATAGATTAATTATCATTACTATATATCTGTTGTCTCAATAAATTATGGTGTATGTGTCGTAAATTAGCGGCATTTCCAAGACGACGGACATGTTTGAAAAGTGCCACTTATAATTTCCACCAAAATGTTGGTGCAATATTTTTACACATTTTTATGTACTTTTCTATATTTTTTTTAGTAATTTAGAATAAAATAGACATATTTAGTCATCACTAAATATCATGATCATTCTTGGTTATACAGGTTTATTTTGTGAAAAGTGACTTTGCCATTGAAATAGCATTCACATTCTTATCAAGTAAATCTATGTGAATCAATATATTGAATGGCTCGATATTCAAATTACTGTAAAATATTTTATTTCCGCTTGGAATTTAGGGCTGAAGGAAGGGCTGATTCAGTGAAAATAAAATCCAGCGAATATACCTTTTTTCCTATATTTCACATTCAACTGTCAAAAATCATTGAAAATAAATTCCATACAAAATGCCTAAAAAACTATTTCAGCGAAAATTAATTCCAGCTAAAATAAAGTACTTTACAGTATGTCTTAGTATTAACCACATAGAATTATGGGTAATCCCATTCAACTCGTCAAAAATCAGTAAAAATAAATTTCATACAAAACACTGTAAAAGTCTATTCAGCAAAAATTAATTCCAGCTAAAATAAAGTATTTTACAGTAGTATGGCTCGCATTACCTGTATTACACCTGTCTCATTATTAGCCATCATAACAGTAACGAGGCATGTATTCGGTTTGATTGCAGAGATGATGTCATTTACTTCCACTCGACCAGTCAGTTTAGATGCTGTGACAAAAGTAGCCTCTGAAAAAAATACCATTAGTGAAACATGTATTAACTATGTTAATGATGTTGAATAAAATATATTGATTGATCAATTGAAATTCTAACATTCATTTTGATTTCTAAAATGCATATTTAAAAAATGTATAAACAATTTAAAAACAAAACAACCACAGCTTTATGTCATTCACTATAATATCTGGTTCTCGTTTTTTAACCTTACTGTGAAATGCTGTAATTGGAAATGGCAGTCTCATGCATACACATACCCATTTTATTTTCCTTGACAAAGTGTTCCACCACTAGCTTGATTGAATCGTGTTCTAGATTAGACGTTACTACATGAGGTAAACTGTGATTCACCGATGATGACATCTCGGCATAATATCTCATCGCTGTATGGAACACCAAATTATTTGCCTACAGTCGGAACGAAAATATAAAGTTAGTTTGAGGCAAAATAAAATGTTACACTACTGAGTATTTTACTGCTTGTATGTGCAATGCATTATGGGAAACAACTTCCCATTGTTATAATAATAATAATAATAATAATTTATTTACCTAGAAAATATTTCATACAATACTCAAAATTGTACATGCAGTCTAGGTAAAATGGAATCTGAAATAGCTTAAAAGTCGAGTCAGATCCCTGACATAACTTGAATTTAATGACTTAAGTTAAGACTGACAGTAGGTTACACCTCAGTATATTTCAAATAAACAAATATGATAATATAATAATATATATATATATATATATGTATATACATACATTTATAATAAATATTAGTTCTATTCTAAATACTCTGACATTAAATTTTCCCGTATAGTATTTTTGAATGTAAGTTTTTGTTTAGACCTTAAAGAAATTGATATGCTGTTCCAAAGTTTGGCCCCTAAATAAGATATTGCAAATGTCCCCGCTACTGTGTTCATTCTAGGTACAAGTAAATCATTTCGACATCTTT